CTCTGGACTCACTCCAACAGGTCCACATCCTTCTTTGTGCTGGGGGTTCCAGAGCTGAACACAGTACTGCAGGTGGGGTCTCACCAGAGCAGAGTAGAGGGGGAAAATCCCCTCCCTTGACCTGCTGGTCACGCTCCTTTCGATGCAGCCCAGGATACAGTTGGTTTCTGGGCTGCGAGCGCACAATGCTGGCTCATGTTAAGTTCCTCATTGACCAGCACCCCCACGTCCTTCTCCTCAGCACTGCTCTCAATCTACTCTCTGCCCAGCCTGCAATATATTTTCCCAGGACATGCTCTAGTCATCTTATGATCTTCGTAGACCCCACTGGACCCTCTCCACAGCCCCCTTGACCTGGGGTGGGGGATAAAGCTGGAAACAGCACTCCAACTGTGGCCTCTCAGTAACCAAGCAGAAGCTCATGATAACTTCCCATAGTCTGGTGGCAGTGACCTTCTCAATGTAGTCTAGTAGAGGGTTTGCCTTATTCACAGTCAGGGTGGACTGTTGGATCATAGAATAGGGTTGGAAAGGACCTTAAGATCATCTAGTTCCAACCCCCCCTGCCATGGGCAGGGACACCTCACACTAAAACATATCACCCAAGGCTTCGTCCAACCTTGTCTTGAACACTGCCAGGGATGGAGCATTCACAACTTCCCTGGACAAGCCATTCCAGTGCCTCACCACCCTAACAGGAAAGAATTTCTTCCTTATATCCAGTCTAAACTTCCCCTGTTTAAGTTGTAACCCATTACCCCTTGTCCTGTCACTACAGTCCCTAATGAAGAGTCCCTCCCCAGCATCCCTATAGGCCCCCTTCAGATACTGGAAGGCTGCTATGAGGTCTCCACGCAGCCTTCTCTTCTCCAAGCTGAACAGCCCCGACTTCCTCAGCCTGTCTTCATATGGGAGGTGCTGCAGTCCCTTGATCATCCTCGTGGCCCTCCTCTGGACTTGTTCCAACAGTTCCATGTCCTTTTTATATTGAGGACACCAGAACTGCACACAATACTCCAGGTGAGGTCTCACAAGAGCAGAGTAGAGGGGCAGGATCACCTCCTTTGACCTGCTGGTCACGCTCCTTTTGATTCAGCCCAGGATATGGTTGGCTTTCTGGGCTGCAAGCGCACACTGACAGCTCATGTTCATTTTCTCATCAACCAGCACCCCCAAGTCCTTCTCAGGGCTGCTGTGAATCTCTTCTCTGCCCAACGTGTAGCTGTGCCTGGGATGGCTCCGACCCAGGTGTCAGACCTTGCACTTGTCATGGTTAAACTTCATGAGGCTGGCATCAGCCCACCTCACAAGTGTGTCAGGGTCCCTCTGGATGGCATTGCTTCCCTCCAGCGTATCAACCGAACCACACAGCTTGGTGTCATCGGCAAACTTGCTGAGGGCGCACTCAATCCCACTGTCCATGTCAGTGACAAAGATGTTGAACAAGACCGGTCCCAGCACCGATCCCTGAGGGACACCACTTGTTACTGGTCTCCAGCTGGACATTGAGCCATTGACCACAATTCTTTGTGTGCGGCCATCCACCTAGTTCTTTATCCACCGAGTGGTCCACCTATCAAATTGATGTATCTCCAATTTAGAGACAAGGATGTCGTGTGGGACAGTGTTGGACGCTTTACACAGGTCCAGGTAGATGACATCAACTGCTCTACCCCTGTCCATCAGTTCCATAGCCCCATCATAGAAGGCCACCAAATTGGTCAGGCAGGATTTCCCCTTAGTGAAGCCATGCTTCACCAAGCACCTTGTTGATTTTCATGTGCCTTAGCATGCCTTCCAGGAGAATCTGCTCCAAGATTTTACCAGGCACAGAGGTGAGACTGACTGGTCTGTAATTCCCCAGGTCACCCATTTTCCCCTTCTCGAAACTGGGGGTTATATTTCCCTTTTTCCAGTCGTCAGGAACTTCACCTGGAAGAAGGGAAATAGCTCACAACTTTCATACCTACTGGCATCTTCGGGCATCCATGGCAATACCCACTTCCATATCAGATGGGGTACAAGCCATAGTCACCTCCCAGCCTTTACCAGTGCAAGCAATTGTTCTGCCCAAGGTACAGACTGCTTCACTTTTTCTTACTGAACTCCATGAGCTTCATGTTGGCCCAGTCCCCAGGTTCATCCCTCTGGATTTAGGTTTTCCCATTTGCCATGTTTCTCCCCCTAATTTAGTGCCACATTGATGTGCTGACATTTGGGGAAGGCACACTCTGTCTTCACCAGTCTGCTGATGAAAATGTCAAGCAATGTGGACTCTAGCACTGAGCCCTGGGTACTCTGTTCACTACTTGGTGCCAGTTGGATGAAAGCCCTTTGATCCCCTGGAGTCCAGCCAAAGGTGGTCCCATCAGTTTTCAACCCGCCTAACAATCTGTTCAACAAGACTGTGCCTGCAGTATCAGAAAGGCCATTTCCCACTGGCAGAATGCGGCAGCTTTGAGTCTTTCCTACACTGTTAAGGATAAAATTATGCAGATGGAAGGAGAAGCCATGGTATCTCTGAATTAAACTTTTAAACTTCAAAACAATCTGAGACTTCAGATAGCAGAGGTCAGTGATGAACTATACCATGAATTCATCTGCACAAGAACAGCAGCCTGCATGGCCTTTAGCGTGCTGAAAAAGGATGATGATGTTCACAGATGAAATTGAGATCAAATAGAAATTCAAGTTGATTTTAGTCACAAATTGCAGGAATTGAGTAATTCCCAATGTCAATGACTGCAATTTAAGCTTTATTTCCAAAACCAAAGAACATCTTCTCTTTACTGACGCCTAACAGTTAATGAAATCATGCTTTCAAGAAGATCATAGCACTTGTAAGAAGGTGTTTTGTAGCTTTCAGAGAAACCACTAAAAAGACTAAGTATCATGCCATCCAAAACTGAAGTAAAAAACAGTAGCAACAATACATCAACTGACTCCAGCAAGAACTGGGAGTTGAGATGAAGAGATTCCAATTTTGGGTGTACATACACAAATTAGCAATTAGGGGTAATTGCTTTCAGCTGCATTTTGCTGTGTAAAAAATAAATAATAACTTCTAATTATCACTAATTAAAGGACAGATGAAAGCCCATGCTGGTGCTGAGAGGAGACACACCTGACAGAAAACAGCTATCTCAAATGCAGCTCCAGTAGTTAGAATGCTAGAATGCTTCTGCCATGTTTCTAAACCAAAATTACAACAGCTTTAATCTCTCTTTTCTTCTCAGGCACTTCCTGCCCATTAATCTTTGCCTTTGCCCATGGTCAGCAAAGCTACAAAGAGGAAGAAACTCATTGTGCTTCCTACTGCTCTGCACATGCTGCCAGATTATCAGCCAGACACTACTCCTTGGTTATCTACCCATAGCCTCACGTAATGGCACAGGAACTGCCATGCTGATGTTAGCTGCACAACTGAAACTGGAGTGGAAGCCTGTGAACCACACAGCCCTGTGATACGTGTTCTTCTATGGCTACATGAAAAGAGATAAAACATATCCAGACCCAAGATTAAAATGAGTTCACTGGAAGATTTCCTGGCCATGTCATGTAATCTGCCCTGACAGCACTTCCTGCCTTGAAATAAAAACTGTACCCCTCTGGTACCCCTCTGGTTGTGTTCCTCCATGCATAGTCACGTGAGGCAAGCCTGTGTGCAGGCTGCATGATGGGCAGGACAGCCACTCCTGTCTAGCTGTATCTATCTGTGTTACAAGTAGGCAAACCAGTTAAGTGCCAGGCCAATGCTGGGGAAGAAGCTACTTGACCATTACAGAAGTGTGGCTCTAATGGTCCTCCTGGGGTCAGTGAAGAGGCACATAGCCAAGGTAAGTTCATCTCATGAGTACCTTTCCCATTACAACTCACAATCCAATACCCTTTGAGGCAATATTGTCAAAAGTTTACGTACTCCAATACTGCACCCTGTAAAAATGCATGCCTGTTACAGGCTTGAATGCATCAAGCTTGTAAACTTATTCTAAATAAATGTGCTCCCAGCATCTGTTTAACCAAGCTGTAAAGCCCTCATGCAGGGTGGTTTACCATATATTTTCTGGACAGCAATAAGGCTGGATCAGACCTAAATACCAATCTGACCCAGAGTCTCATCTGCAGCAGTAGCCAATAGCATATATTTATCAACATACAGGACACAAGACAACAGGGACTGGTCCTCAGTTGAGTTTCAGATTACCAAACACCAGGCAAGTCAAAAAGCCCAAACCTCAAGGCAATGATGCATCTGTCCAACGTGGCCAAGGCACGCCCATTTCTCTTAACTATATTCCCTCCTGTTGACTACTATAGTATGCCTTGGTTTTTCCACTCGGTCTAACCAGCATTTATGTTTTGTCAAATGGGCAGCCTTCAGGAGGCAGCCTACATCCCTGGACCCACAGCAGTATTTCTGAAGTTCCCCAGCCCTGCTTCACTGAACAGGCGCTGAGGTTCCCCACTGGGGCTGGGACTCAGGTTAATTGCCCATTTTCCTTCACCATTCCTGCACACCTCTGGGCTCACTACATGTCACCTTCACTAGCTGAGCTGAGCAGACTTAGGTCCCTGCAGTATAACTGCTTTGTACAGTTCATGTGGCTTCCTTAAAAAAAGGTCTAATAATTACTACTCTGAAGCCTCAACCAGGCATCCATATTCTTCAGACAGCGGGCAAGCTCAGAGATCTCATTTGATCTGTATTTCCTCTAACTCCTATTTCTACAGTATCAAGTTCAGAAATCTTTTATTGCTATAAGGCTAATCCCTTACAAGTCATTCCAAGGGGCTCAGAACAGAATTCAGTCATTTTATCAACAAAACTCCACAGCAAACAGAGGTTTCACTGTAAACAGGATTTGCAATACATTATTCAGACATTGTGATGCAGAGGAAGCCCCCACTTGTGACTATAACTTTCAGTTCAGCTCTGGGTAAAACATTAAACCTTTTTTACTCCCTCTAGTCTACTGATTTTGCAGTGAAAACACCCTTACCTGTTACAGACCATTGACAAAGCTCCCTTTTTTTGCTTCCCTTCCCTCCCCCATGACATTTGGAGAAATCCTGAGAAGACGTAACCATCCTCAGACACCACTGCCCCAGGTCCCTGTGTCCCAGGAGCTGGAGAAGGCAGAGAGGAAGATGTCCTCCACCGCAGCTGAGCAGGGGTGCAGGAAAACAGGAATTTCCCTTTAGGGATCAGCTGCAGAGAATTACCTGGTTGCTTAGAAACATGAGATTAACTACAGCTCAGTTTTCTCCTTACTTCACCCATGCACTGAAGGAGAGGCCATAAATTGGCTGCTTAGGGGACTCACGATGCGGAGCAAGATGTGGGGTCGCCACACTGGGTCAGGCAGCAGGCACAGCAGGAAGACAAGTATTCTGCTCCCCTTCTAGGCTGTGTTAGCTCTCTCTGGTTTGCAATGAAAAGTTTGTCCTTGCTGAGTTTCAGCTGCCAGAACGTGGGTCAATGTCAATCACAAATCGACTGTGCCAGGATTTCAGCTCTGATGACAATCAGTTGAGGGAATGCAGCTAGGGCAAAGGAAATAAAACATCCGACCAGCAAGAGCCGCTGATATTTAAAGCAGATGATATTTTAAGCAAAATTACATTAATTTCTGTGCCTCTTAGTAATGTTTTCTACGTGAGCTGCCAAAACATCAGTGACTGGCAGCAATAAACACACTTACTGCCTGTTTGCATCTTCCATACCTCAAGGAGTTGGAGAAAAAGTGTGATTAGAAACAGAGAAACCCAGCTACTGTTTTGCTTAACCACCCTCATATAACATGGAGGAAGGAAAAAATGATCTAGATAAAACAGATGTGGACTTAAGCTCACGCAGTTTACAGTCAAACCAGTTTGACATGAAAAAGCACCATCACTAATGCAAACACAGGAGCACAGCCCACAATGTGTGCTCAAGAGCTTTCAGGAAGTCTCTGCAAGAAAAATGATCCTCAAGCCTGATGTAACAGGTCAAAGGACCAGTGAACTGACATCTGCCTGTAAAGTAGCAGAATTTGGAAAAAGATGCTAGGAAGTGTCCTTAATTTAGACTTACATTCATTCACATTCAGAGATGTCAGCTCTCAGTCACAGAGTGGGAGGGATATGCTGTGTAGCACATACCTAATAACCTTCTGGACAAAAGCCAGCAGTGTGGTTATCATTATGGTGGATAGTTACTACAAGCTGAAGGTTAATTATTAGCAGAGCTTAAAATCAAGGAGAGTTTGATCCAGGCTGCATAGCTATACACACACACACACTGAGCCACTACCCTGAAGCACTTTCGGTCTCTTTCCAGACAAGCTGAACATAGTTTAGCCATGTACAAGGTGACACACTATGCTAAGGTGACAGGGAGACTATAGCTAGGTGGCTCTTGAAAACAGCACCTAGGTGAGCAGGTACTGTGGGTGCTTTCCACTGTTTTTTTTGGCAATTCCACTTCAGTGGTTGTTTAAAAACAGCATCATTATGAGTATTATTCAAGTTCTATACACAAAAATTCTCTTCAACGTGGGAGGAAGGACTAGAATTGCCTTCTGCTCCACGCTTACATGCTTTGCTGTGAAAAGCAATGAGGTCTGCAAGGATAGGTTTGCAACTACCAGAGCTCTGACTTTGTTAGAAGTTATTTAATGATACTTTATGATTACAGGCTGGTGGGATGGGAAAGAAGAGGCCAAGTGAACAAAGTATCAACATGGAAAAAAGGCCAAAAACTTAAATCACATGGCAAGGGTTTTCTTCAAGTAACAGAAACTCAGAATTTAGTTACTTTTTTTTTTTCCACAGTGAAATGCTCTTTGGGCCTACTGGAAACATGAAAAAGTAAGTCAGTAACTCTGCCTTTCTCCAGAGATGAACATCCCAAACATACCGAGTTTTCTTTTTCACTTAGTTGCCCCATTAATTCAGTATTAACCCAATTAACTCAATTCTAACAAACACAGTTTTACATGTCCATAAGCACTTGATATTTACACTGCATTAGGAAAGAAAACAAGGAACATGGGTAAGCAGGTAAGACTGAATTTGGAATACATAGGGGCAAGGGGAAATCGACTCATTCGTAACATTATGGATGGTGCACATGTGCAAACCTGGAGGTTCCTAAGGCAGACACAGCGAGCAAGAGCTACATACAATTAATAGATGGATCACACTCTTGTATAAACAGAAAAAGGAAAGGAGCTTATGCCAGCAAAATATAATCAAAATGACCAGCCAAGCTGCCTAAACAAGGCAGAGTATGATGTGGGGGGAGGTGTCAGCTGAGAACACTCTGCTCTTTTTTCTCCTACCGTGTGTGGTGCCTAAACACAGGCTGACGTGACCAGGGGATCCCTGTGAGCAAGTAGGGTAACTTCCCTTTGGCAGAGAAGGATTAGTGTTTTCTGACTCTGTCAAAAGGAAATCGGGGACTTCTGCCTCTCTCCTGCCGCTCCTGCCATCCTGGTAGCAGCAGGGTTTACACTGCAATTTGCTGTGTTTACATCGCTGGCCCCAGATCTTTTTCTGTGTCTGTGGTGTTACAGCAGAGGCAAGAAACAGAGCCTAATTCTCTCACAGCAAATTAAAGTCCTTTCCAAGCCCAACATTTACCATTCCATATTCCCACATACTGCAAACAACCATCAAAATCAGGGTAAAATAACAGCTCCGGAGGAAGTCTACATGACCAGCTGAGGAAGTCCAACTTCCAGACAGCTAGGGCTTAAGAGAGAGAAATGCCACCCATTAAGCCAAAATCGTAAAGAAAGTGTCAGGGGTCTTAGGAGACAGGGCAACTCAGTTCAGGAATCACATCCAGCCACTGCAAAGTGCCGTGGCTCAAGGTGTTTGCCATTAAGCCGCAGCTGCGAGAAACACACAGCTTTAATGAAGGCTAAGTCAACACAAGGGACCTTTCAGGTATGTAATACTGGCAGTTACAGTGAATGCAGATACGAGTAGACTGTATTTTCATCATGGAAAAATTTGCCAAAATAGTTTTGGAGTGAGCAGTCTGAACAACCTCTCTACTGTTTAGACTGAAGCTCTCCCAAATGTATTTTTTTCATTAGTAAATTCAATCTTGCTTCAGTAAATTAAAGTACATTTCCACTTTGTTCTGCTAGCCATCACAAGAACAGAAAAGGTGAATTCAATGCTAACGCTGCTCCTGAGAGCGTATGATCCTGGAACAACGTCAACAGCCTGGTAAGGGGTTGGGAAACACCCAGGCATCTCCCAGCCTTCCCTCATGCCCTCTCGCTGGAGTACTACTCAAGTACTTCCCATGCATAAATCAACAAAGATAGGATGAACTTCAAATAGACCTCACCCTACACAGTCAAATAAGCTAGGGAAAATGTATGTATGATTTGTAATATTTACATTTCGAGCAAGGAAATTCTTGTTTTGATACATTATACATGCTGGAATTACTAACAAGCCTGGAAACTGCATAGGTTCACTTTATGCATTGCTTTTTACCATGGAACATTGCTCTGTGACTTTGTTCAGGGACTAGGCAGACTTCAGAGAACTCATGGTATGGCAGCTTGGCTAAATAATATTCTATTTACAATTTTAGTTTAATCCACCCATTTGCTACTTATCAAGGCCAAAATTTCAAATTTTGCAACTGCAGTCAGGCTAAGCCCTGGCTGTGCTTTGTGGTTGTCATTCTCAGTCCATCAGTGCTGTAATCTTACTTATTTGTAGTCATGTTATTGAAGCAATGACATATTTTCAAGGGAGTACTCTGTATAAATGAAAGAACTTCTCAAAGGTCACAAATTAGACAACAAAAGCAATATAAACAAGGCAATAAATAAGCTGGATTTATATAAATTAACATTAAACTTGTTTGTTGCATAGTTTGCAGTCTGGAAAAATGACCACTTGCACTAGGCTGACTTCAGTGATTTCTATTACTCAGATAAGCATGTCACTGAAAAAATGTCTGAGGTGAGGCAGGAGCTTTTATTAGGCCAAACAGGAGTTGGAAAAACAACAAAGCAACTTATTAGCCAGCCTAATAAAAGACATTACCTCTCCCTACAAACCTTGCCTTGCTTATGTCATGGCAGCAACTTCACTGCCCAAATACTTCTCATCCTAACCATTAAATTTTACATTTAGTAGAAGTCCAAGAGCTGCCTTGGTTTATAACTGATTTTTGTGGCTAAACAAGATTTTCAGCACAGAAAGGCAACGAAGGGATGGGAACACCGGTACTGGAAAGAAAGCTTGCGCAATTTTACCAGCACAAGCATTGAATCTGTGAGTTCCTCCACCCCCACATGCTGCAATCCTAGCATCCACAGAGTATCCACAGCAGCAAACGATGGGCCTTGGGACCAGATTACCTCCCATCTGACACTGCCTGGAATTACCATCACTGACATGGGTGGGACTGTATCCCAAATAACTGATGTGAGGAACGAGCTGGCTTGCTCGCAGCCATTCAGGATTCCTCAGGGACTCCCGAGAAGTAACAGCAAGCTCCTGAAGTGGCTGACAGCCATTTTTCATTCCATATTCACTGTCACAGCACTGAATTAAGAGAGCATTTTCTGTGAGGCTGGAGGAATAACTGTATGCCCTGGACCAGCAGATGAACAGGTAATGTATAAGTATTGGGTAGTGTAGGGCTACCCAGGAGAGTTTAGGGAAGCAGAATTTTCCCTGTAGCATCCTAAAGAAGGGAGAGGATTAATGAAGTGTTTCCAGGAACCAAGCACATTAAGGTATATAGCCCTGCCTTGTCAGCTGTCCAGTAAGCATAGACACACACACACACAGACGTGTCCCTTTTTCAGCATCCTTGTAATTAAGACGAGCTCAGGCATCCTCAGTGAGCTTCTTGGTGAGACACAAACTTCTTTCCTAGCCTATTTTTGTTTAGATTAGCCACACAGCTCCTCCTCACTGCCTCAAGGCAACAAGAAATGCGTACAGGGCTTTGTGTTCAGCCTTTCCAGCTAAACTGCTTCTCTAGCTGCCTCTCCCAGCACAGCCTCCAGTGCCAGCAGCTGTGCCTGATCACAACTCCGCATGTATTGATCCTGGTACAAAGCACATGCTTGGCCTGACAGTCTGAACTCAGAGGTCAGGGTCCTCTCTTCTGCAACCCTCCTGACTGCTCTGCACCCAGCTCCACTGCCA